TTTCATTATTAAATTCGTTGATGTATGAATCGAATCATACACTTAGAAAGCATTGCCCTATTCTACCCACTAAAAAATGTATTTTGCATCAAAGTTCGTTCCCTGGTAATAAGTAACAACACAAAATATTGTGTACTGTGTAGATGTGGATATAAAATAAAGATAATAATTAAAATGTAGTGTTTTTAAAATCACTGCAAAGATTTTAAGACGGAAATCTTCAATAATTAATAATTATGTAATTGAGTAAAAAACATATATTCAAAAATTAATTTATTATGTATCTCCAGATTCTATAAACTACTTTGTGTAAATATAAATTTAAGGAGATTCATAAAATAATATAAGAATACCTGGGTCTGTCAATTGAAAACACTTTTAATCAATTATATATATTATTATATCTTTTAATATAGCTATTTATTTTATTATATATTTAACGTTTTTCTGTCAATTTTTAAAATACACTACTATATGTAAGGCAATTATTTCATATTAATATTTATATAAAACATAAATCAAATCATGAACGAAACGATCAGCTTTGTGATTAATAATAAAATGGTGTTAAACAGAGTAGTTTGTTATGAGTAAATTTTACTCACAATACTAAAATTATAATAGATAATTAATTCAAATTAAAAATATACATAATTATTAAAATTCAAAGTAAACTATTCACTTATTTTTTTCGCCATTATCTTTAGTAATTATTCTGTCTTTGAAATGAAGAACAGCTTCTATAACTAAATCAGGATGAACTGCTGGCTTTCGTCCTTTCACCTTAGAATTTAGCGATAACATTTTTATCAAATAAAATTTGAGAATAAATATAAAAAGACAGTTAAATTAGATTTCAAAAACGAAAACGCAGGAAATAAGAAATTCACTAAACGTCAGAACAGTTTATTGAAGAGTAAAACATTACAAGTCACAATGCCTAATATTAGTATAAATAATGCTCCAAAAATAGAATAAAAACGCAGAATATTCTGTGATATAATTGTGTGTATTTTCCAATTAAATTTTATTATTAAACATTGGCTTATTTAATCTTAGTATAAAAACAGAAAATGTTAAGGTACATTATTAGAACATTTAATTGTAATAATATTTAAGCTATATATTGTATGAACCAAGGATAATTTTTTTTTTTCATAAATATTGTGTAAAATTCTTTTAAATTAATATTAACAAAAGTAATGAAACCGATAACGAAAAAATATTTGAAATTAATTTTATTTAAGTTCCCTGTATTATGAAATTCATACAAATTATGTGTAAAAGGTTTGCGGAAGAAAAAGTTCAGATTTCAAATTTGGGGAGGCGGGGACACGGAAAACAGGGTTTTTCCGCATATTTCAGGAGAGGGGGTGAAGTAAAAATTCCGGAAATGGTCGTACAAATTCATACAAATTGAGTTCTTGAGTTTTACTAAATTCAAAAAATTAACACTAATTTATTTATGTTAGGGGGGCCGGAGACATATGTCTCTGACCCCTCTTCAGTATTTTCGATATAAGTCAAATAACAACGTCGTACAAATTCTGAAAACTGTCGTATAAATTCATACAAATTACGTACAAAATATTTGAATAAAATTTTTTTAAAGTTTTCGTGGTGGGAGGGCCGGTGACATAGACGTCAGATAAAATTGTTTTAGTAGAAACATATCATATACATAATACATGGTATATTAAAACTTACTAGAGTGATCGTTTCCTTTTCAATTCACGTTGAGTTTAATGATCAAACCTAATTTTAAAACCTTTTTAAAAATAATTTTAATTATTTATAATTAAATGTAAATAAATTGCGTACCTAAAATTAAGTTTTTTTTAAATATCTCTTTGAAGATTTATAGTACAACTGCAGAAACAATCATGTTATAATGATGTTGGTGAAATGCATATAAAAAATACACGATATAAATATTATGCTTGTAATTACTGCTGTGTTCTTATACATAACAGAATGAAACTGTCATTGATTAGCATTTAATACTACGCCGTGAACATTTTTTTATTACATTTTATTACAACTTCAAAATTGTAAACAAAATTTATGACATATTTGATGTAATACATTAGGTTAGGAGATTTCTATATATTAAAAAAGACAAGTTTATTATTATTTGTCGGTATCTCACACGATGAAGACTATGAGAAAAAAAAACAATAAAATAAACCTTTGATGAGATATGAATTAAATGGATCATCGAGGGTCCCTGTTTGTCATCCAATCGGTTTTGCCACGCTTTAAATTTTAAATCAGTTAAAAATATTCTGTCACACGAAAGATACTTTTAATTTTAAAATTATTGAAATCGTCTACTATTTAATTATTATAGTCAAGGCATAGTAATACATTTAATTAAAAAAAAATAAATAAAAATATTTATTTATCTTTGAAAATTGTAAAAATATAATCAGTTATTCTAAAGTGATAACAGTAGTAAAAACATACTGAATCGAATATATAAAAAAAAAAAATTAAAAATATCTTATTACATTCTTTATTATATTCGAAAAACACAAATATTTGTGCAAATAATAATTATTGTTATTTATATACCAAAACAATTTTCTATTTGATTAAAATGAAGATATTAAACGCACTAAGTTATTATGATGAGAAGTGTTAAATCAATAATATTGATGAAAAATGTAAGGATTTCCACTCAAACAAAACTATTTAGTATTTTTTATTTTTAGTTCATATTTTGAATTAAAATTATACAAATATGTGTTCATAAACATAGTATTATATAATTTTATATTTTATAAACTACTAATATTGTTAATATAATACCCTTTGATGATATTTAATTTCATATAATAATTCTAAACTAAATGAATACGAATTTTTTTAAGTTTGTTTGGGTAACACGTTTCTTTGCTGTTTAAGAAAAATACTTATTTATACAATTATTTCTAATGAACGCTTAAAATCTCCCGGACAGAAATTAACCAACAATTAATTTATCATTATAATCAATCTACAATCGCATCATTAGAATAGATTATTGATTATTTATATAAAACGCTATTATTATAATTAATATATTAGTTATTAATTCTAAAGGTTCAATCAAAAAATTATGCTAAACGTATATTTACGTTAATAATAATTGAATATAATGTTACATATTGCCCAACATTCGATCTCTTAACAATATATCGCTGACACATCGATTATAAATCCAATTTTAACGAATCATATTATTTATAGTTTCCATTTAGATTAAAAATTAATCTGTGCTGTTTATTCGATTGTAATACAAAATATGATTAAATCGCATAAATAATGTTTATGATATTATGAATAAAATATTATGGTTAGTATGTATAAATTACATGTAAAATAAACACGACCGCATAGATATTTTTAGTATTGGTATACATTATAATATTTCGTTGTCATTTTTTTTTTTTTTATGACTTTTTAAATTAAATGTGTTTAAAAAAAATGTAATTAATCATAACGAATTGAACTTTTATAAAAAATAAGTGAACAAAAGTAAAATGTATAGTGAGCCATTTATTTATATGACGCAGACTATCATCGTTGATCACACACAAAAATGAAGTCACTGCATTAAAAATGTTACAAATAAGAATGTAAGTCAGTTCCGGGAAAAATAGGTTTTAATCGTTAAATAATACTAAATGAATACTGTGTTAAATAATAATAAATACAACCCTCGCATTGTGGTGCATTCCCGATGATGATAAGCGTTTCAAGTGGCATGTTATATAAAAGAACAATAAGGATGGGTAAAAACAGATTTAATCCAAAAATGCATTTTTTATTTTTTTTTCGCATTCGTACAAAGTTGTATATGAAATTGATTTTTTTTTTCATAACTTTCTTTTCAAAAGTAATCTTATAATATGATTATATGATATACCCGTAAACTGCATTATCACATGGTTAATGAGAAAAATAATTACTTAGCAAAAATATTTAAAACACTTAAATAGCTTTAAAAGTTTGAACGGAGGAATTATAATTTGATTTAATTAAATTCCTGTTCAAATTCATTATTTATTAACTGATAAGCATGAATAAGTAGTTCTGTATAGTATATACGTTTAATGTTAATGATTAGACCATTTTCTCACTGTTATAATAAAACAAATGCAACGTTGTTGAGACTATAAATGAGAAGCTAATGGGTTATTGACATAATAAGTAAAATAAGTTGAATAACAAATATATCAAATAGCCATCTAATTAATGATTTTAATTAGAACTCACATGTGTTCAAATGAATGAAAACGACGTTTTAGTAATTTTGAAAGTACAAAATACGTAAAGACAAACGAATAATCCTGATCAAATAAACTTTGAACTTTTAAAATATGCTCTATATGTCCGTCCATCTGATGATTTTGACTCAATCTGAGAGAGCGTGATCATGCAATGGACAAAACATTACTATGTTTCTGACAAATGTCTAGAGAGAAGTAAGTATATTTTTTAAACCTTTTTGGACCGACTAAAGAAACAAATTTGTTAGCCGATTATCTATCGTATAACTATGCTACATTATAAAATACGACATACACAAAACTATATCTTCGTTAAAAGTAATTTTACTTGGTTAAAAATAAGTTTTTTTTTTTTTTTTTTTATTGAATAATGTTGTATTTATGCACGTTATTGGAATATATGATAAGTGTACTTATCACTTTCACAAAAATTATTTCAATTATTTTTAATAAAAGCGATAATTTGAATAAAAAAAATAAAAAAATAAAAAAAATATTTATACATTTTTAACGTCTGGAATTTAAATTGGGAAAACAATTAACTAAACGTGATTGTAAAATGAATAAACTGTTTAGTATAACATATCACTAAGAAATGTAGTTCGTCGAATCGTAAGTATATATTCGTGTCCGGCATAATTATAAACAACAATATGATACTAAAACAAGATGATAAAAACAATAAAACAAATAGTAACAGGTATTATAATTGTGAGTAAATAATAATATAAATTACAATTCGCTCTGGTAATGTTGTTGATGGTGATATAAATGTTAAACAGTCTTTGCCCAGTGTTGGGATACGTCAAATGCGTTTTGATTCCCCTGTATAAGGGATTTTTCGGAGCATGTGTAGTCCAGGCGTACGAGTACTCTTGGTCGTATTTCCATCAGTAGTTCCCAGTTCTTTTGTGTTAACTTTGCAGCAAGCTACACCGGTTCTGAGTCTCTCTGTTCAGTGATTTTCAAATGGGATATTTGTATTCATGACCAGGAGGTAGGGTTCGTAGACACAGATTGTTTGTAGCCATGAGTTATCGTGATCAGTTTCAGCTTCATATTGCTAAAGTCCACACTTACTCGATGTAACGTTTAGCTCGGTAGTTACCTTCGGGGAATTCGGTAGTTACTGAAAAAAACAAGCTCGTCGTCAAGCTACTAAATGGTGCAATCGCTTTACGACTTGACGTCGACTTACTCGCCCGCGTGTGTCCAGCTTAGAAACGAACGGGTGTTGGTATCGTTTCCGACTGACAGGTATTCAGGAACGGCAGATGCGCAGTGGCTACCACGACATTGTTCGGGTGGACAATGGGGCGCACGACGAAAAAGGATTTACTCAGCGAAAAAGGATCGCGCGTTCACGTATTATTATAATATCGGAATCGTACGCGTCCCACAGCCGTTGGCGACCTTTTGTGTTATGACATATGATTATTATTATTTTTATTATTATTATTATTATTATTAGTAGTAGTAGTAGTAGTATTGTTGTTGAACACGAACGCACTTCTCGTGGTTCCGTCACGTGTTGTGCATGAACGTGAGCGACATTTGAAAACCACGACCACAATATTGTGTTTGGCAGCAGCGTGCACACGTGCTCGAGGCGTGCCGAAATCGGTTTCGACGGGACAAAAATCGCATCATTGCAGGTACGTCGGCCAATCCTTTTCGAAAACATTCCGTGCCAGCCGGTCTCCATCCACGTGCGCCCAAAACGCTCGATTGTCGCCCCCGTGCACATTGATTAATAATTATTTGTTTAAAATATCACATTATGTATTTGTTTATGTAATATAATAATAACACAAAAAAAAAAAAAAAACACATAAAACATAATAATATCTAACATAATTTGCTCCCGCACTAATGTCTTAAGGTCGGCGCCTATGTTTGCGATTCCGAATAGCACCGCCGTAGTCTCGAGGCGAGTGATCGAGGCTCTGTTGGAGATCGGTTTTCCTTTTATTTATTTATTTTTTTTTTCACGGGAATCCGGTCGACTTTGCGCTTTTTTTCGGCCGTTATGGTTAAAGCTTGGATTACCGTAATCGACGAGGCGCCCGACACCGATTGAACCTCACGCGCAAACCGCGGACCAATATATGCACATACGTATCGCAATAGTGGTCTGTAAACGGATTCATAAGACATCGTTTACTCTACGGAGGAAGTACGATTTTTTATATACGTCAAATTTCAACGTAACCATAACTAAACGGTTTTTGGTACATGTTTTTTTTTTTTTCATTATTTTTAAAATCTAATTCACCGAATCCTAGTTTGCATACGTGACCTGGTTATATTTCTGTGGAGAGTTCAAGTATTCGGCGGGATATTTACGAGCGTTAATCACGCTTAAATAATAAATAATGACCGTTGTAGTGAAAACGCAAATGAGAAAAATAATTCCAAAGAATCGAAAACCGTTGATTATTATAACGATCAAATAATATCATCGAGTTTAAATTTTTTCGATTGTACCAGCGAAAAAAAAAAATAATGGATTATATTTTATACATATGGCACACGCAAAATATTCATCAGTCGAATTTCGTGGTAAAAATAGGAGATAACAATCACCATATAGGGCTATAGTGTCACTTGCTTTCTTCACCAGTGATCGAATTCGCACCTTTACGCACGTTACAAGTAAATCATCATCTATCTATTATGGTATTAATGTATAATAATTATTGTGACAAGATCCTAGATCTAAATGACTGTGTTGTTTAAATATTATAATAACTCCACTCACTACCCTTCAAGTAGTCGTCATAGCCAAATGCACAAAGAGGGAGGAGGACAGCTACAAATGGTTGTGCCCGGGTACTGTTACATTTTTGATTAATTAAAAAATATTTTTATGATTATTAACGGAAATCAAAATGTATTGTACAATATATTATGACGACGTACAAATAAATAACGTGTAACTATTTACGTGTTCACTAATTATTGATCAAAAATTGTTTTTAAGCTACACACAGGTAACATGCAGATAACAAATAAGACTGCCAAAGAATAATATTAAATTAAAATCTCGAATTTATTTGATTTCCTTTGCCAATTTAACTGTGTGTAAACAAACATATCTATAAGCTAGGTTTTAATTATTATCATACGCATGGACGGAATACTTATCTTCGTGGACAATAGTGAACCAAGGAACCCCTAATATAAACTAACGCACATGCCCTTTGGAAAATTTCTGGGCACGCCCACGGCAATGGTAACATTCCTATTTCGTGGCACGTGTGCATAATATATGTACAGTGTAATCTGATTAATGGGCACTGTCGCAGTATCCGTTTCGCTGAAATGTATGCAAAATCGTTAGAATTATAATTTAATACGTCTAACCCTCATCTACACTAAAATTCCGTTTGACCGCCACGTTTACATAATGTACGCGGATGCCAATGATTTCGTAATCAATGTTTTATACGGTCCGCGGTAAAGATGATGATGACCACAAGGGGTCCTCGGACGTGGATCCCGTAATACCGGCGCACACATTACGTTGACCGAAAATATAGAATTCCGCATTCCATCTGAAACAGTTTATAAATATAATTTGAGTAGGTATGAGTGTTTTTTTTTTTTTTTTTATTAAATAAAACCCACAAACTATAGATACAAAGTTATATGCATGTTTGATGAATTTAAAAAAAAAAAAACGGTGTTTGGTAAGAGTTGGGGCATTACCTATTGGTAATACTTAGCACGTTTATTAATTATTGTAAGATAGTAAAGTAGAAGGTCCCTACACCATTCCCTTTTGAAACTTCGTCTAGGGTCATCGGAGACTGTGCTCGATGATACTTAATTAATTATAGGGTTAGTGTGTGATTCAAGTTAACTGTGGAATTTAGTGTAATACATTTCGAAGAAGGTTTGGACTTTGAGATCTTCATGAAAGATGTTGTTTGTTATATACCACGGTACAGAGGAAATTAGGCGAAGGCAGATAGATTGAAAAGCTTTTTTATTAGCGAAGAATTTAAAGGGTGTGTATGCTGCGTGTAGATTTCTATTCGTTTATTTTTATTCCTCAACGCTCGGTCTATAAACGAATTAAGCATACAGTTAACCACATAAGATAATATCTTATGCAGTTAACTGTATATATGATATTATCGAACCTCATCTGGGTCGGTTCAAGGCGCATTATGTTAGTTTTCTCAGGTATCGCGTGTGATCCCGGCGAAATGTTTTCCACGTTAAGAGTAATAATTATCGCAATGATCATTGAGAAAACAAATATGTACTATCTTAGACGGGAAAAGCATGTACCCGCAATCGGAATTTGTGCTCACAGCCGCATGCGATACAAACCATTTTTCTATTAAGCCGAGTGCCGTTCAACCAATAAAATACTAAAATGTACCGGTGTTGTTTTCGTCATAATGAACGTTTTGCTAAAACGAAACTGTGATAGTACGTCATCGGCGCGCAACCGTCGACGATGTTTATCGAAATCCAATATTATTGCACATTTTCACTGTGCGCCGTACGCTACAGGTCTTAGGAAGTACGTGCAAAACTACGGTTCCGAAATCGGTGCAATGCAGAACGATAATACCAGAACAATATACAACACTTATTACGAATTTTGCGAAGTCATTTAATAATATATATATATATATATATATATATATTTTTTTTTTCGGGGGTGGGGTGGTGAAAACGCACAAAAGGAAGAGAGCAACGATTCAATCTGACAGGTCCCGAGTATTCGGACGACCGACGTTGCCGGAAGCCTATTGTCTACGACCGTTGCTACTCCATTTCCTCTTGTCCCTGTAGCTGTTTCTTTTTTTTTTTTTTTTTTTCATCCTTCCGCTTACAAACAAATAATTTTGTTTTGTTGATTCATTTTTTAACCCCGTAACGCGAACGCAGCGCACCGTACACGTGTCCGGTGCAAGCTTCGCAACGCAACTACTGACCCTGAGAAATTCGGCAGGAAATTGGATACCGGCGGCGATGGACCTGTTCCGCGGGGACCGTTTTGGTCTCGCAGCAAACAATAGGACTATTACAGCACTGCGACTACTGCTGTACGTGTACACAATCATACATTGATTATCATGTGGCGCGGGTGTACAGTAATTTACACTGACGGTAAACGAAATGTGTTCGACAGCGATGTTTACGATGGCCCGGGTAGAATTCAATGGTCCAGTGCCGCGTTAAAAACAACATGGTGCTTATCGGTTTCAATACCGTCGGCAACGTACACCGTCGTACTATTTACACGTAGTTAGATATGAATATTTATGGTGCGGTTTTCTACATCCACAAACAGTTTACAATAATAGTACAAACGTTTTAATGGTCTTGTGTTCTAAGCGACGGATAATGCGACGGTAATACTTTGTCGACGATAAACCGTAAGGTTGTGTCGTGCACCCTCTACACGTAACAAGTGTACGTCGACAGATGGACGACACACTTCTGTTCGGCTTAAGTGCTCGGTCGACTGCACGTGGTGAAATACGATTCTCGCGCACTACCGAGTTTTGAAAAATAAAAATGTAAAAACGAAAAATGGCCTAGAGATGAGTATTGAAAAAACCAGTTTTCGAAACGCTCATGTTTCCAAGAAAATACACGTTCCGCACACGCTCGCTGGTTAAATTTCAAACGTGATCCGAACTTGTATTATTTGTGTTATTATACGATATCAGGGAGTGTAATTAATCCATTGTTACTGCGGTGAAATATACTACGATGGGATGGGAAGGGAGGGAGAGAGAGATAGAGTTTATAAAAACCAAAATAATATTAAGCCGTATACGGAGAGTGAAGGGTGTACGGAGTCGTAGTCCCACCCGGGGCAAGCGGATGACAGTGATTGATCGAGTGTGCGTATAGGTCAGAACACTATTATTTTCTCGTTGGACTTAACCTTAAAAAAACAACAAAAAAAAAAACCACTGTAATCGAACGGAGATCTGTAAATCTTAATAGCTATGTAACGAGAGAGAGAGAGAACATATATGTATATCGTATCCGATGTCGGACTACGGATTTCCAATCGCACGTATACTTCAGATGTACAATCTCAATCTCAATCTTCTATTCCGTCTCGACTTTGAATCGCCCATGGACGGTGTATCTTTGTTCGAGTAAAGTCTTCGACCCGCCATTATAATGGACCGTTTGATCGACGAAAAGACTGCCTAGTGCCGAGCGCACAGTATTGTTACCGTGTACCATTATATAACGCTTAGGTGCGAGAGTAGGACGCGTGTTCGATTCGGACTTGGCAACGGTGCGGGGGGAGCGCGTGGTGAGAAAACGCAAATAATCGCTTATAATTGAAACGGTTCCGAGTGTAGTACAAAAGCCAACTGCTGCACGACAGTGAGTTTATTGTAATAATAATATGGTCCGATTCGTTTCTCCGTCCGTTTGGTCGGCTCTAAAGCTAAGGAAATATTGTAAAGCGTCTCAGGACGATTGGTGGCAGGGAGTTGGGGTTTAGGAGCACTGGCTCCGTCGTCCTCGTACACGAACGAAGCGTTATGTTACAATGCGTGCACGGCTTGCGAGTGGGCTTGCCGCTACGCCGGCGAAAGACTTCGTCTAAGTATTTTTATCGCGTTATCGTCGTTCCGCTGATTGTCGAGCACGAGCCACGCGCGTCTGTACACTCGCATTACGAACGTCCGCTATGCACCAGATCAATACGCAGTTCGTTCACACCGTTCGAAAAGGTATTGCGATTGTACAGGCGGGACCTTGTAACGATTCCGACCGCGAACCGTTTTTGTAACCGAGTGGGTCGACTGCGAATTTTTTTTTTATACGTTAAATTTTCGATGACCCGATCGATTCGAGTTATCGAAGTTTCCCCGTAACCTGTAACAACGACGCGTTTGACGAGACGCATGTAAATTTCCTATTCCCACACGTTCAATGTTTCTCCTCCGTTAGCCGTCCCCGTCGATTACAAACATACATTCAGCAGAAACGCGTTCATTCGAATGAAGAAAAAATCTGCTTTATTCAGACCCTATTTCAAGGCTGCAATCTACGTTTTACGTTATTAACGCTGTACAACGCGTTATCCGGCTCATATTATACGCACCGGGCGCGAAAAGGTGATCGTGAACACAATGCACGATGTCTTTAATATTTATGCCATGCACACCTGTGCGCTACACCGTGGTAGTGTTGTGGGTAGAGGAAGGGCACGTGAAATTAAAAATGGACCGGACGGACGACCCCCGCATCGTACGTACGTGACCGGGTCGTCGTAATAAATAACGAAACCAATCCCGCGAATCGGACAAATTTTGTACGCGGACCATTTGAAAGAGACCGCGGGGATGTATAGGAAAGAAAGGAATGGAGATAAAGAGAATCGATGACCACGGTGCTCGTATACGAACGTGACCGTGCATCTCAAAATCCCAATCGTGAAAATCGGCGCATAAAATGTATGCCGTTTCCGGTGACAAAGGTACAGAAGACCACTTGGCACTCTTGGCGAGAGAGAAACAGCGGAGAAGAGGAAATCGTTTTATACCGCATCAGCCCCGACGCGAACCTCGGCAGTCTTTTCGTGCGGTTAAGTTAATTGAAATCGTCAGACGACGACGACTACGAGAATTACGGTTTCAATTCTAAACGGGAAACCGTAAATCAAAGGTCCTTTTGTTATTGCATTCAGTGTTCCGTGATATGTTTATATGTGCGTAAGCGCGCGCGCTATCCCACTCGGCGATAATGGCCTACCCGAGACACCCCGTGGGTCCCGTCCGACTGTTAAATCGTAAACAAATCGTCAGGTACGTGCTCATTCGCGGAGTCGTCGTTGTCGCGGTCTTGCACGGTCAGCGTAGTGGCTCGCAATAAGTTTATAGTAATAAATATAATGGTTTATGGTAAGTTTAAGTAATCATGTTCCGAGAGCGGAGGGTCTACGATGCGCGTGCCAAATATTCGGGTTATATTATAACGGTACGCGAAGAATGAAAACATGTGAATCTTCTTGTGACGCGTTACTGGAATGAAGCCGACTTTTGCAGTGGCAACGCCATTCGGTTATTCCGCCGTCACCGCACCGCTTGTGACTGTAGTCGGCTCAATCGGCCTCGACACAGCGACCGCTTTTCTTACCCACGCATTTGGCAGTCGGCACGACGATCCCTCTCTTCCGCATCGATATATCAATTTGCTTCCTATAAGATCTATGTTCAAACACTGGACCTAGAGATTTAAAATTTGATTAGTATACATCTCTAATAGTTTAGAGATGAGATCTTACATCAATGTTTCCCATAAGGAGTGAAAAGAGGTAATATGTTTTTATGTACATCGATATCTTCTTCCCAAGGTTACCTATAGAAATAAGCAAGGAAATATTATTGAAACGGTGACGATTCCGTACGAGACGGGATTGTTGTGCGACTCAGATCCGTAGAGTCGTCTCTTTGGTGGTGCGAACCGATGGCAAAGGGCTAATGGTTTTCTGCGTTCAGTGTTCCGTTTTCACACAGGAGATACGCGTCCTGGTGATGAACCGGCGAATCGATAGGACGCGCGCACAGTACTCTCTACAAAGACG